ATTGATTACAAAATACTTAATTGTCATCTCATTTGTGGTCTAATAAGCACTCAATAGACAACACAAATGGTTCACCAAATGAACACTTTATTCAGATTATTATTTTTTGTCATAATTGGTGTGTCTTTGAGATTCAGTTTACTCAAGAGTTCCTATCAGAAGGAGATCTCAAATCGGGTGGAGATCTCATCGCCGGTCACCGCATGGAAGAGAGGTATGATTTAATGACAATGAGTTGATCCGTAAGTTTATTGACATATGTGTGATGACAGCCATCGAAGGCGTGACTCTGGAGTCGATGTCCATCTCTCCATACAGTGGACACACTTTCCACGAATCACCCATTTTTCTGCACTTCTATAAGTGGTTGACCACAAGTGGACACCAATTGGTTGAACACCTCTTTGTGGCCACAGATATATTCACCGCTTTATTGCTGTCTTTGGTTTGCTATAAACAACTCAACTATTTGTCACTTCTGGAAGAGCAGAGAATCAGCAAAAATGTCAAAAAGGATGACATCCAGAGGCTGTCCATCGATAGAAGTCACATAACGGAACAGTCACTACGAGTGGCCGTCATATACCTGTTGTCTCCCTATTCGGTGCTCTCATGTGTGGGTCAGTCGACGAGTGTCTTCACAAACTTCTTGATGGCTTTGACTCTTCTGACGACAACCCTTGAGATGAGAGTCGTGTCGACGGCTCTGTTGGCACTGCTGTCCGTTCAGTCCTTTTATCCCTTAATGATGATCGTCGCCATCGCTATGATTATTGAACAGAACAGATGTCTTCGAGACAAACCGACCAAACCTTCGGAACCACAACTCGTGCACTACTGGTCCCCTTCCGTCAGATTCTCTCTGTTGTCGACCATCTCTATGTTTGCGCTCTTTTTCGCCGCATTTCTATTCATTTCATATAAATTGATGCAAAATAACTGTCAATTCATTGAATCGACATTTGGTTTTCTGTATGTATTTACTAAATACTATTCAGTGACTGAATCACACTAATTCTCATTATTCTTGTGGTCACAGATGGACTGTTCCAGACTTGACGCCAACAATCGGCATATTCTGGTACTTCTTCACAGAAATGTTTGATCACTTCCGAGAGTTCTTCCTCTGGACCTTTCAAATCAATGCATTTATTTATGTCATTCCTTTAGCACTAACTCTCAGGTATTTCAAACCAAATCCAATGCTAATCCCAACACTAATTGAATGGTTTTTATTTAACAGAAAAAATCCTTACTTTTTAAGCTTTATTTTACTGATATTACTCTCACTGTTCAAACCATACCCAACAGTGTCCGACTTTGCAATATATACGGCACTATTACCTCAATGGAGTCATCTGTTCACTCGTGAGTGAACCACAACTCAATCCATTGAAACTGAATTAACTTTTGCATTCATGACAGACATGAAACAAGGACTCATAATCACCTGTATGTTCGTCTCGTGCAGTGTTTTGGCCCCAATTTTATGGCACTTATGGATAGTGATGGGGACGGCCAACTCAAACTTTTATTTCGGAGTCACATTAGCCTATAATACGGCTCAAGTAATGAGTACTAAACGATTAATTGGTTCACAAAATAAGTGATTTATTTGTTTCAGATTTTCCTAATAACTGATCTCTTGTTCGCTTTCGTCAAAAGAGAATTTTATATCAATAATGGCGTTAAGACTGAAGCGGACGGAAAACTTTCGCGACTAGAGCTCGCATTTTAGTCAAAGTTGTTTTTAATCAATTATAAAATTATGTCAATTATGTAAATAATCTAACGGTTGAATCGGAGCCCCCGGAGAATATCCACGGCTGGAGCGGATGGAAACAGCATTGAGTCACTCCTAAACTGTCTTTAACGGTGTGTCCCCTCAACACTTTGACGGGAACTATAAGCGGGTTTTGCGTCAAATCGTTGTAAACCATTCCATGCGATACGATAACAGTTCCGTCGTCTGAAGCCGAGGATGTTTTGGCCCCAATTTTATGGCACTTATGGATAGTGATGGGGACGGCCAACTCAAACTTTTATTTCGGAGTCACATTAGCCTATAATACGGCTCAAGTAATGAGTACTAAACGATTAATTGGTTCAGAAAATAAGTGATTTATTTGTTTCAGATTTTCCTAATAACGGATCTCTTGTTCGCTTTCGTCAAAAGAGAATTTTATATCAATAATGGCGTTAAGACTGAAGCGGACGGCAAACTTTCGCGACTAGAGCTCGCATTTTAGTCAAAGTTTTTTTTTAATCAATTATAAAATTATGTCAATTATGTAAATAATCTAACGGTTGAATCGGAGCCCCCGGAGAATATCCACGGCTGGAGCGGATGGAAACAGCATTGAGTGACTCCTAAACTGTCTTTAACGGTGTGTCCCCTCAACACTTTGACGGGAACTATAAGCGGGTTTTGCGTCAAATCGTTGTAAACCATTCCATGCGATACGATAACAGTTCCGTCGTCTGAAGCCGAGGCAAACAATGGATATCTTTCGTGGAAACAAACGCTTCGAATCGCCTTTTATACTATAGACTCACAAAACATACCAAACCAGCTATCCAGGTTTAGTTTGGTTGACTCGGAGTCCAGTATTGACGGTTGTTAATGTAATAGCGGACTAAAATGTCATTTAATTTATTTAACATTTATAATTCTTGAAGTTTTCAATTGTATTCATACCTTCTGGATGTACAGCAATACTGGAGATCTCATTACAATTGGGTAACAATTTTTTGGACATTTCCTGTTTAACCAAATTATAGATCCGAAGCGCTCTGTTGGTGGCAACGAAGAAGTATGGACGCGACGGATGAAACAAAACGCATTGTATTATTCCGTTGGACTTCTTGAAGGGAACCTATCGTTCAAATATTGGTTAATAATTTTCAGACATTTTTACTTCAATTAACTGTCGATTACCTGAGACTTCCTTTTGGACAAGTGATGGATCACAACAGACTTATTGGCACCACTGGGCATCACTGATGCGAAATAATCGCCGCCGTAATGCCAGACCACTTGCTTGATGTCAAACCTGTGCTTAATTACAATTCTGATGCCATTCTTCCACTCATCACTTGTTTCGCTTTCTTCGATCGTTTTCCAGTCGACTATCGAATGATCGGTTGATTCACTCTTCGTGTTCTCATTTGAATCGACATTCGACTTAAACAACAGATCAGTTTCGGTGATCACAAACTTTTCGCCCACTTTTGGGTTTATTA